GCCCCCCCCCAGGAGGAGCTTTCTCACTTTCTCTCTGTCTCTATCTCTTTTCAGCAAGTGCACTCGCCCCATAGCACATTTTATAAAAAAGAAGAGGGCCAGCAGGTAGTGTGGAGGTTAAGGCCCTGGACTTCCACCTGGCCAACCATGGTTCAAGTCCCAGACCCGGAGGCTTGAAATCACACTGGACGCATGTGCATACATGCCCAAAGTCCCCAGAAGAGAATGGAGGAGGGACTATGGCGTGGCTATCCTCCCTGGGGGTGGCGATTTCTGTCTCTGTCCTCTCTGGTGGTGAGTGCATGTTCCTTATGGCAAAAACCTAGTGGGGAAAACAAAACAGCAGCAGCCAGGTTCTGGATGTATTTGGAAAGTAGAATCGAAAGAACTCACTGCAGGGTTAGATGTGGGAGAGGAAGAAGTTACTGAGCCTGAATTGTGTTTCCCCCAAATTCATAGTGAATTCCTGATCCCCAGTAAGATGGTATTTGGAGATGGTATCTTGGAAAATGATTAGATTTAAATAAGGTTATAAGGGGCTGGCAGGTGGTGTGGTGATTAAGAGCACTGAATTCCCACATGGCTGACTGCGGCATGGTGAGGGGCCAGGTGCTGCCGGGCAGGAGGGGGCGGTGAGGTGGGTCCTTAAGGGTTGACAAGAGCTGCTGCGCAAAGTGACTTATGACCTTATTTATTTATTTATTTTTAAAGAATTATTGTATGGGGCCAGCAGGTGGCATGGTGGTTAAGGCAACTGGATTCCCACATGGCTATGATTCAAGTCCCAGATCTGACAGCTTGTTTTCTCACTTTCCTTCTCTCTCTCTGTCTCTCTCTGGTCTTCTTCTTTTTTTTTTTTAATTTTATTTATTCATTCATTTATTTTAATTTGACCAGAGAGAGACAGAGAGAGGGAAAGTGAATCAGAGCCCTGTGGGCCTCGGTGATTTACACCTCCCCCCCTTCCTCGGGAATAGGGCATTTTGAGGGTGACTCCCTGCACCTCCGTTCTTGCTTCTAACCCCTGATCGAAATAAGATCCCATGTCTGAAAGGGGCCCCAACCCTGACTTACTGGGTTTCTCCTCCTCCTGGTTTTCTGCGGGACGCCCGCCCTGAGGCAGCCCGCCACCTGGCGGCAGAGCAAGATCAAATCGTCACACTGCTCTCCTCTCAGCCCACAGTGCTGAGCTGGGCCTGGTGGGGAGAAGGGAAGGGGGCGCACCGCTCGTGCTGGGCTGTGCTGTGCTCCTTGCTGGCTCTGGTGTGGTCTCACCTTTCTTCTCAGCCAGATCAACTTGAAACATTATCCTTATTCATTAAATATTTACCTACTTAAATAATTGCAGTGGTCTAAATACGCAGCAAATATTAAGTGCTGGTTATGTGTCAGGCACTGTTCTATGCATTGGTCATACAGAAGGAACGGTCGAGGACAAGAAAAAGCAAAACTCTGATTATTCACTAATTAAAATTTATCCATTAAAAGTAAATTAGTGGAGGGACCAGCAGTTGGTGTAATGGCTATGTCGCTGGACTCCCATGTAGCTAACCGAGATTCGAGTCCTGGACCCAGTAGCTTAAACTCACACCAGGCATGTGTG